CTCGGGGACGTGTCACCTAAAACAAGGTACCCCTAATTTTGGGAAACTCCCACTTGGTACACGTCCTTGAAGTGGCCGAGAGGCGCTCCCGAGGCGAAGCATCGCAGCACAGCCGAGTCAGCTCTTGCGTCCACCTCTCTGACACCAGCTGCTTTAGGGTTTTAGGTTATATTGGGGTTTAGGGTTTTAGGGTTTTAGGGTTTTAGGGTTTAGGGTTATATTGGGGTTTAGGGTTTAGGGTTTTTTGAGTTTAGGGTTTGGGGGGTTAGGGTGGGTACTTTATATAGGGGGTTGTATAAACTATATCGGGATAATGGACAAGAAAAATGGAAGCCACTCTTTGCTGTAACTTAGGCAACAATCCAACAGCAGCGACACCCGAGCCCTTGCGAAACAAAACCATTATTTTTACGTCTTCTGAGAGATGCGGGCTGGCGTCTGTGCACATCCGCGTCCAGTGTGCAGTGATTCTGCATTCACTCTCATGCCGGACAACCAAACCCTTTGCGATCCTGGCTGGTACATAGTAGTTTCCATTTTATTTTCACTATCATAATATAACCCCAATATAAGCCCAATATTACTTCAGTAGTACATGAAGCACTTTGGTACTGTACTATGACATTTTCAGCCCACCTCTCGAGGCGTTCAGGCTTCGTGGCAGAGTTCGTTGAAAGACCACTGCCAAGGATAAGCACGCCCCGGGACCTTATCATACTCAGGCTCTCACTCCTGCGGCCGCCATGCACATCGTACACACAGACAAGCCCAATGCCCGTCAAAGTGAGAAGCATTTCATGCTGGCAGTACTGGGCCGCCGGCCGCAGCGGCGACAAAGCCCGGCCAACCTCTTGCGCACAACAGGGCTGCAAGCTCGGGATGGATTGATGAAATGACACTTCCTCTCCACAATCCAGGTACTTGTAGCAGCCAGGTGCAGGTTTGCCAGAAGTAAAGCTAGTCAGATCTAGATCACCCGATTTGCATCTCCAAACGCACTGTGATCGACACCATGGTTCTGCATGCTACGAGCGGTCATGTGGTGCTCACGACTCAGGACAATGATGCATGCTGCAGCAAAAACAATGGAATCTTATTGATGTTTTAGCATGCCAGCACACGCTTTGAAGGTAGTCTCGGTGCTCCTCTAGGCACTGGCGTGCCAGTTCTGACCCACGGCGACCATGCCTTGGATTGAAAAGAAAGTCAAACTGCTGACCAACAGGCTGTGAACACTAGCACGTCCATGCCACAGCACTGCGCAGTGATCTTCTGAGTTGAATGGCGGGATGGTTTCTATGCGCACCATGCGCACCCCTGCCCCTAAACGTGCAGGTCTCTCGTGAGAGGCAGGGCAAAGACATCCAATGCCCAACGCGCTGGAGCATATAGTTCCCCTCAGTTGCTCCCTAAATCGTAGTTTCCATTTTCTTTCCCATTATCCCAATATAACCCTAATATTACCCCAATAGTACATGAAGCTCTTTAGCCGTTTTAGCGGCATCGGCTGTGCCGCCTTCCCAGCCCCCCCAAAGGATCCAAAAAAAAGGAGCCCCCCCCAATATAGACCCAGTATTACATTGGGGAAACTAGGGGATTCCGTTTGGGGGTTTCTATTTTTGGATCCTTTCCCTAAACCCTACACCCTAAACCCTTAACCCCCAGATCCTACGCACATGTCTGGGTTTGCTGGGCACCATACTGGAAGGCCGGAAGACTGAGCTGAACTACCGGCACAGCAGCCAAGGCTGGCCTGAGGATTTTGTTTGAGGTCCCAATATACTACAGTATTTAGGATGTAGGGCTTTAAGATTTAGGGTTTAGGGTTTTAGGATTTAGGGTTTAGGATTTAGGGTCTTAGGATTTAGTGTTTAGGGTTTTAGGATTTAGGGTCTAGGGTTTGGGGTTTAGGGTTGTTATAGTATAGTAGTTTCCATTTTCTTTTCCATCATCCCGATATAGCCCCTATAGTATACATAATTTAGTAGTAGTTTCCATGTTCCCCCTATATAACCCCTATATTATACCCTTTAAGAATACTTTCCATTTTCCTTTCTTTTATTCCTATATAAAACCTTAGAGTCCTAGGAGCTTAGGGAATACAGTTGAAGCTTTGCCCGGATTGTCAGACTAGGACATGTAATTCGGCATGGACGAATGCCACATCCAGCATCAAGACGATGCTGGCGTTGTGCCATGTTGTGCCCAAGAGGCATGAGCAGCAGTGGCACGAAAACACCGTGGTCCTCAGCGGTCAACGGGCACTCTCTCGGGCAGCAGCATGACCTTTTTGCAGCCATAGTGGCAAGAGCTCTGGCAGAGTTGACTCTGATCTCCTCAAGTGAGGCGGCCGCCAGGTGCAATTGGACTCCGTGACTCGAGTGGATCTTGGTGCAACATCCCCATACCGCAGGCAGTATAGTAGTTTCCAGTTTATTTTCCATTATCCCAATATAATCCCAGTATACTATAGTAGTTTCCATTTTGTTTTCCATTATCTCAATGTCCCCATACGGCAGGCATTACAGAATCCCTGTGACAACTCCTGGTCTGCCTCTTGAAGGAGGTCAACCACCCAACCAGTCCTCAGTCGAGAGCGCTGGGTCCCAGGGCAAAAGTTTCAAGCTGTTACCTTCGCGCTGTCAACTGCTCTTGGCGCTAGCTGCTACAGTAGATGATTACTACAGTCACTATTGTAGATCAAGGCTGTGATAGACCTTTGTCGTGATGGCGGTGAAGACATCTCTGTGGCGAGTCATAATTTGCGGCTCGAATGTCCTTGCTTGTGCTTTCAAATGGCTGCATCATTCATGCCCTTCAGACTGCATGCAGCTGCTACGCTTCAGACATATCAATGATTTCTTATCCCGCCTTTTCAGTTGCATCTTCGATACAAAAGTCTCAGGGTCCAGCACCTGCGGATCACCAGGTGGATGGTAGTGGTGGTGCACCTTGAGCCATCACAAATGGCGAGCACATTGGGCTTTCTCACGCTATCAGGGGCTTTCTTTGCAGGTCTCCCTACGAAAGGCAACTCTGCAAACTCGTCGGAAATTTAGAGCCAAAAAGGAAATGAACATGTTTTGATGATCACGCAACCTTCCGCACGCAGCACTGCTAAGATCACCTTCGCACACGAAACCGCAGGCCTCGTAGAGGTGCTTGGGTGCACCCGCATAGTCATAAAGAAGTCCTCGCGTGGTCAGTGGCACAGCTATGCACTCAGGCAAGCAGAACCTCCACGTGAGGACTGAGCACACCCCTGCTTGTCCATATGACCTTCCATTACGCAACCAGAATTCGCGATGCTATGAGAAGCTGGAAACCAAGCAAATGACACATCCCACACACTCTCAGGGCTGCCTTGTGCATGAGTTCGGCGCAGCGTCACCTGCGACAGAGCCCATTTTAACATCTATAAACCCATAATGTAGACCCACGACTAATAAACCCCTGCTGCTAAGGGCCTAAATATGAGGATCTCTATTATGATCCCTACTAAGGCGACGGGGTTTACTCATCAGGGATCTACATTAGCTGTCAGCCGTGTTTCTCACGGGCAGCCTCCAGACCGCCCCTGCTCTCCCAGTGGGCTGATATCACCAAAATGCAGCGCACCTTGGGCCAACTACATGAAAGAGTATAGTCCCCCTTAAGTAGATAGACTATGGCTTTCGGTATAATATACTAGGATCCCCATATACCCTATCTACTTGAGGGGGTCTATATACCCTTGAGCCGCCTCACGAAACACCATACCGAGGCTCGGACCAAGGTCTCATCCAGCCGCAGCCTGAAGCGGCTCTGGGGGCCTTGCCCCCTGCTTGCTTAGAGATATAACCCCTATAAGACCCGTTTCAAGGGACCCCGAATATACAGTGGTTTCCAGTCTCTTTTCCATTATCCGTATATAGCTGCGTTCAAAGCAAAACATGTCTTAGTTTCCATCTGACCGCATGGCTTGCAAGGATGGGTTTGAAGCTAAATTCGCTACATCTTACAAGAACAAAGACAATCAGCCGCCAGGTGCGTGCCTGCCAGGCAGGTCCGTCAGGCTTCGTGGGAAGGGTGCTGAAGGGTCCAGCATCAAAGGCATCGGCCCAATGCCATGAGAGACAAACCTGGGGCGCATATGTTTCTCGCACGCGTTCCCGGTGGAGAGGCTCTTTCACTGCTTTCAAGCTTGTCGAGTCGGGCTCCAAACCGTCAAGCACGGCGAGCAAGGCGGACGACTGCCCACATGCAGGCAAGCAGCAATGTGGGCAGAGGGTCTGCGTCAGCTGAAGTCACAACCAGCTCCTTGTCAGCATGGATGGGCACAAATCAAACTCCACGGACAGCTATTGCTTGAGATTCTATGACAGCATGTAATTGAGGCAGCTATCGAAACATCTTCTGCTAAGGCTCCACGGGTTCCGCTAGCTCGAATGCCTTCTCGAAGCATTGTGTCCTCAGTCAGCCACTCTTCGGCAGCTCAAGGCTGTGAACACGAGCCAATCGGTTTTCCATTGTTGGAGAGGCCGGAACTACGCAGAGATCGAAGTGCTAGCGCTTAGGACCCAGGACAGACCATAACGTGAAGTTCTGGCGCCTAGCTAGTCTTGGCTTTCAAGCCTGCTTGCCGACGAGCCGCTGAACCTCGGACAGTGCCAAAAGCATATTATAGTATACTGTGGTACATTATAAATTTTATGTTATAGTAAACTACAGTACATTATTGCATGTTATAGTATATTAAAATATATTATAGTATATTCTGGTATATTATAGTATATTCTAGTATATTATATAGTATATTCTAGTAGCAAGCAAAAAAGACATGCAGACAGACTTCAAGGCCATGCAGTGGTTCCTATGGCCGAGCAACCGTGGTATGGCAGGCGGCTGCCCCTTGCGGGGCCCTCTTCTTCCCTTGCGCTCGTGCACCTTCTAGGTCATCATCCTGCAGGTTGGTTCACCTACGAAAAATACATGGAAACAATTGCAGTTTATTGGGGTTACATAGGGATAATGGACAATAAAATGGAGACTACTATAGTATACTAGGGTTACATAGGGATAATGGAAAACAACATGGAAACTACTATAGTATACTGGGGTTACATAGGGATAATGGACAATAAAATGGAGACTACTATAGTATACTAGGGTTACATAGGGATAATGGAAAACAAAATGGAAACTACTATAGTATACTGGGGTTACATAGGGATAATGGACAATAAAATGGAGACTACTATAGTATACTAGGGTTACATAGGGATAATGGAAAACAAA